GTCACCAGAGTCACACCGGAGGAAAAGGTTCGATAATATAGAATTCAGAACCAAGGAAAGTAAAACCAGAAGGTACTTAGAGCCTAGGTACAACAACCCTTCGGAGCTAACTGGTTTGGTAGTTGGGGAAGGATCAGTATAAGGACTGGTTGAAAGTGGGTATTGGGATCAGAATGAACCTTGTAAGGGTAAAGAGTAGGTATAGTAACGATGCAGAAGATCGCAAATTCCAGTCCTCAGATTGGGACATAAGTACTGAAAAATCTAGGTGATACATATGTGGGGCATAGACCACTCTGGTAGATTTACCATAAGGATAAAGTAGTCCTAAGGGGCCTTAGCAGCAAATACTCTTCCAGAGAAAGTATCTGACGATGCTAAGTCGATCAGAGAATTTAAATAGGGGATCCACAAGTAGATCTTAGGTATGGCAATTGGTAGGTAACTATAGATAGAAATAGATATTGCGGAGCCCTTAATTAGACAATAACTAAAGTTGTACGTATGACTAATTGTACTCTCATTGATGTAACAAAGTTAAGGGGTACCTACTAAATATCCCGATAATTGAACTGAGAAGTTAATAAATCGTGCCAGACCCCCAAGTAATCACCTTAATATTTAAAAAAAAAAAAAACCAATATTTTAATCTCCTCCAGAGATCTAAAACTTATTTTAGATTTATTTCTTCTAGAATCAACAACTAGCATATTGCAAGCTTTATCCAAATAAATTTTATTTTATTAGAGGATTTTTGTTTATTCTTTGTTTTGAAAAAGTTATAAAAATTAAAATTTATATAAGATTAAAAAATTAAGATTTACTTTTTTTAAAACTTTAAAAACAAATAATTTTAATTTTAAGTTTTTAAAAAATAATTTTTTAGTATTATATTTACTTTTTTAATATACTTTTAACAAATCTAAAATTATTAAAATCTAATTACAGAATCAAGAAATAAAGTTTAATCAAATAAATATATATCTTATATATTAAACAATTGATTTGTCTAATATATGATATGTGTACTTATTTGACTAAGTTTTATCTTTTGATTCTGTAATTGGATTTTGATAATTTTAGGCTTATTAGAATTATATTAAAAAAGTAAATATAATGTCAATAAAATTATTTTTTAAAAATTTATATATTAAAAGTTATTTGTTTTTAAAGTTTAAAAAAAACAAATCTCAAAAAACTCTAATTTAAAATTTAAAAATTAGAACATATAAAAAAAGAAAACATATATATTTTTAACCAATCAGAATCAATTACACAAAAATTAACCAATCAGAATTGATTGGATATCTTTTACTGTCCCGTACTATAAAACGGTACATTCTCGAAAAGTACTTTAAAGTATATAAATAAGTTACCCGAGCAATTGATTTACGCCAGCCACTGTGTTTCTATAATCCTACACATGACTCAATATTCGTGTTATCCGGCAATTCATGATCAAGTCGTTAAAATAAACATGATTACAACATAACAAAAAAAAATTATGAGTTTATCGGATAACTATATAATACTTTATATTAATATTGGATTAGTCTTTTGACTTTATATAAAGAACCTTTAAATACTAAAGAACATGTACTGTATTTAAAGTTTTTAATTAACTCTTATAGTTCTAACCGAATTAAAAATTTTTTTTTTATAAATTTTACGAATAAAATCTAGACACAATACTTTGTGCGTGTCACATAATTTCAAACCCCATAATCTTAATTTTAAATTTGACGCATGCAAATACATCATACAATTTATCTTTTTAAGTTCATTTATTACAAAAAAAAATAAATAAAATAAAATTAAATAGATACATAAAGGAAAAACTGCGTCAAGCCAATAATTATTTGTGATTCTTTGCTTTAATTCGTGTAAATATTTAAATGCGAAAGTTTAGTACATGTTTCATAACTGATTAATTGGCGTTTTTTTTTTTATCTATGATTACATTTAAAAAATATATTTTGAAATTAATTCGTTTTACAATTCGTATAAAGTAATTGTTGGTTCGGGAGCTTTTCTTATTCAATATTTGTCTTTACTAAGTTTTTTTTTTTTAGTTTAAAAAACAGTCTAAAATATGGGATCATGTGAATACGTTCTCGATTGTTGGTATCGTTTGGATTCAAATGATTTTCAAACAAAAAAATAACGCTAGTATATAACTGGTAGCTTTACTGACGGTTTAGGGAGGTGGCCCAAACAAGTGTGACATCACGAGTTGGATATCACTAATTAAATTTGGCACCAAAAAAACAACTGATATCACGATTATTTGGACACAAAAAAAAGGTAGAGTAAAAAAAGGCGGGAGGTAATTTTTAAGCCTAATTTTGAATCGAATAGTCATAATACAAATTTGACGATCATAGCGATAGAAGCTTTTGTGTACGTACCACATTTGTTGTGTTATATATACTGTAATCAAAAAGATAATTTATTTAGAAAGTGATTTTAAACACGAACTGGAACCTTAATCGTGAAATTTATAATTTAGATAAGAAATTTATAGTTCAGATAAGAGATGAATTAATATTTTTTTTATACATGCCAGTACTTCTTGATGCGGAGCTCGTGTAAATGTCTCCGCTATTTTCTTAATGCAAAAATAATTTCATATTGTTTACAAATCTTGATTACTGTAACCGAGAGATTTCCTTCATCAAATTGTGTTACACTTTAGAATCAAATGGCGGCTAAAATGCATCAACGAATAAAAACGGTTTTAAATTCGAATTTACATACGTATGCGTACGTAAGTACGTACGTACTGTACGTACGTACGTGCATTTTCATCGCACTCAACCCTTGAAGAATTTGATTAGACATCACGCTAGATAATCGAAATACTAATCATTCGGATCACCATAATGTCAGACTCATGTATGTTGTTAATCGGACAGTCCAGACAAATCCGGACAAATTTCAAAGCAAAATAAGTTATTAATTTATATTTATATTTATATTTATATATATTGGATAGATTTATAAACAAGATAAGGACATGAACGTTTGTCCAACTGTCGGACACCCCGAACACTCAAAATATACAACTGCGTGCTTATATACATATGCGTGCATGTACAGCGAAAATTTTAAATTCACTCAAGTGATAAATTTGATAAATTATAGCGAATATAGGCGTCGGCAAAATGACGTAACTTAGTTACGATAATATAAAAAGATTATATCAACTAATATAAACTGTAATTAGTAATGACAATGATCTATATAATACAGTAATGGCATCCGAATTTATATACGTATCAGATAACCGTTTAGTTATGGTACAGTAAGTGATATTTTTTACCGTTGATAAACTTTAATGAGTGTTATATTTTTAACAGTATAAGAACAATGTAAACAATTGTATTATCAGGAAGCTTTACTGTGTTATCTTCCAGCATATATAAAAATGAAGCCAAATTTTCTTGAAAATTATTTATTCCAACAATGACATCTGATAATAATTCGCGTTCAAGATCCAACAAAATCACTAAACGTAATAGACGTCTCGTACGCAATAATAGTACATCTCAATCGGTTGCACGCGTGAACACATCACAAGTAAGACCATCATCAACACGACCAATAAGACCACCATCATCGCCTACTGCAGAAGAACAAATGCTACATGATGGGTTCGCCTTTAATTCCTTTAATTCGCTTCAGGTATCTCATGATTCCGTTGAAATGTGTATGTACGGAGGAATATGGCCAAATTATTCTTAGTCTTTGATTGAGCACGTTAACTTGTGCTAAATTATCTACAAAAAATAAAATTCAACTCTTCTTTTACAAAAAAAATTTTTTTAATTTTTTTTAAAAAAAATTTATGCTTATTATCTCATAAGAAATAGATTTTAATTTATTTTTCATTATGAACTTATGATTAAAATTTAACTTTTTTTAATTTTTATTTTAAAAAAAAATTTATGCTTATTATCTTATAAGAAATAGATTTTAATTTATTTTTTAAAAAAATTTATGCTTATTATCTCATAAGAAATAGATTTTAATTTATTTTTCATTATGAACCTATGATTAATATTTAACTTTTTTTAATTTTTTTTAAAAAAAATTTATGCTTATTATCTCAAGAAATAGATTTTAATTTATTTTTCATTATAAACCTATGATTAAAATTTAACTTTTTTTAATTTTTTTTTTTTAAAAAAATTTATGCTTATTAGGCCATATAAATAAAATTATTCGTTTCTCATCAATATAAATAGTAAAAAGTGACCCGGCCGCCCGAGAAAAAAATTTATTTTTTTAAAAAAAAAAACCCTTTTCTAAAATATTATTGGTTAAAAAAAATGATTTTTTTTTTTCACCCGGTAAAACATTTATGAATTTTTTTTCTCTTTTATAATATTTATATGCCCGGCCGCTGATGAGAAACGAATAATTTTATTTATATGACCTTATCTTCATAAGAAATAGATTTTAATTTATTTTTCATTATGAACCTATGAAAAGACTAAAAATTTTTAGCAATTGATATTTCACATCAAAATTATAATTAATTTTTTATGCATAAGAATTTTAAGATTTACAGTACTTAATTATTTAATTTATATATACAACTCTCTTTAATACATCTCTTTACTGAATTCTTTTTCTTAATGCACGTTCTTGATTAGTCCAAGACGTTGTGCATAGTATAGTAGGAACAAATTTGAAACGAATTTGAATGCAGTCATAATTATAAATCTCTAAAAAAAAAATGAATGGAAAACTATGAAATAAATTTGAAACAAATTTGAAATAAATTTGAAATAAATTTGAAATAAATTTGAAATAAATTTAAGATTAAAAAAAATGTCAATAACCTTTCAAGTAAAAAGTAAAATTTAGTTTTACGTATATTTATTATTGTTTCGATAAGCTAAAAATTGAGAAATTGATGCCATCCCAGGACAGCCAAAAAAAGCTCGGGACTAAAGATGCTGATGAAATTAACTTCATCAAATTCAACACCAATTTCACTACTCTAATTTAATTTAATTTTACCAATTTTGCCACTCTAATTTAATTTTACCAATTTTACCATTAATTTAATTTCACAAATTTTGCCACTCTAATTTAATTTCGCCATCTTCACTCGACACATTGTAGATCCTCTTAGAAAAATTGACTATACTTTCATATTTTATGATTTATTACAATATGTTGTTTTTTAAAATATTATTCAACCTACTTTTTTTATATTCTTCGTCATATACTCTTGCTTAGCTGTTTTTAAAATTATTAAAACGCAGAACAAATATTAGAATACACATTGTTAATAGAGATACGTATACAATAATATATAATATAAAAAGTTGCTATATAATTAATTACAAAAGTTATTTATGAAATATATTAGCCTTTATTATAATGACGCATTCGTACATATGTGCTTACTAGCACGGAGCTTATCGGGTTTATCGTTTAATATATTTTCATTGTAAAGTTATGCAAATATTTTGACAATATTTTTGGTTTAAATTTAAAATTCATCAGTATCTTATCGTTATCCACAACCGTTTATACAATTTTTTATTATCACAAACAAAACGGGTTTTATAATAAAATATCAAATATAATGTTAAAATTTAATCACTATCACGTTGGAAATAATAGTGTTCAGAAGTTCGTAATATTGATAAGGCTCCAGAGATTGAAGTTTTATGGTATTTATTCTTTTCGTCGAGATAGTTAAAAGAATATACTTATTAATTTTCATACAAATATCAAGAAAATAACGAAAACAAGCCGAGGGAATCAAAGTAGAAAGTTTTACTGTTATATATACGTACATTACATATACGTACAGTACATACGTACTACTTTCTAAAATATAAAATTTTAAATTTTAATTTAACATTAAATGTTATTCGGAATATGCGTGTCCGATTGTCCAGCACGTGAGATACTCTGTTATGCTTTGGACTTCAGCCGATACGTCGTATACAATTGTAAAAAGACCAGTGTTACAAACAATCGAAGTCTCTATAACCCTTTGAAAAGTATTCAAATTTTTAAATTTCAGACTTATTTTTATTTTTTATTTTTTTTTTATCTAGTTTTTTTTTCTCTAAAAAAAAATATAGTCCAAGAAAATTATTAAATAAAATAAACCTTTGTACGTACGCACGTACGTACGTACGTAACCAGTGCCTTGCAGACTAAAATCTGAACTGTGTATGTGAATCTTGCATATCAATATATATAAATACAGTTATCGTACGAGTCTGACGTAACAATCTGTGCGTCGCTTTTTTAAATAAACTATTTATTTATAATTACTTTCTCCTTGTTCGTGAAACTTTTGATACATCTGAGCTTAGTTTTTCGTTCCAAAATATCAAGCAACAGCCTTACGGTCAACGTTCCCCAACAGTTAACAAACCATTTGTTTGTTGTAAACTTCGAAATCATAAATAAAAGGCGAAAGGCATTGTAAAGGAATTTGTTACTTAGAAATAAATACCTTTTTTTAAATTATAAAAAAACTAATAGTTTCACATACAAATTAATATTAGTCCTCGCTCTGCAAATGAGAATTTTAAAAAACTACCTGATCTAATATTATCTTCGAGCCAATAAGAATTATAAAAAACTACACAACCTGATATTAGTCTTCACCTAAAAAATAGAAATTTTAAAAAACCATCAGATATAATATGATTTTTTATCCGATAAATAAGAATTTTAAAACTGTTTAACCATTATTCAGCAAATAAGAATTTTATAAATTATTTAATTTAATACAGTATTAGCCTTCTTATAGCAAATAAAAATTTTAAAAAACTACTTAATATATATATTAGTTTTTACTAATAAATAAAAATTTGAAAAACTACCAGTCTAATATTAGTTTTTACAGCAAATAAAAATTTTAAAAATCATCCAATTTAATATATATATTGTTAGTTTTGTCTAGAAATTAAAAATTTTAAATAAAACTAACATATATATTAGCTTTTATTTATAAATAAATAGGAAATTTCTAATTTTCACCGGGGGAAAATCCCCAGTTACACAGTCTGCAAATTGACCAATAATATTGCAAGATCGATTTTATATAAAAATTAACATTTTATTATTATTAATATCTATTTTATTAATTTATTATTTATTTGTATCTCAAGAACCATCAATTTTTATCACATCTCTATT